GTCCGCCTTGCCCACCACCTCCCCCGGGAGGAGGAGGAGGGGGCGGTCCAGCTTGAGCGCGTTCATGCCGAATATTGCAGCGCGCACATCGCTCGAGGCCATCACTTCCAAAGTAACTGTGATTCTCACAGACGTGAGTCCCACAATCCGTGCAGAAATACATGGAGACCTCTTGAGCATTCTTGCGACATGCCCAGCACTTCATTTTCAAAAACTGACAATTGCTACAGTCACCATCGTCGCCCCGGCAAAGCCCGCAGAACTCACGATTGCATGTAACACACGAGAATTCAGCGTCCGGGTGCCTACGGTCGTTGGGGTCATCGAGGGCACAAATCTTTGGCGCACCTGAGCCACCGGCACCGGGAGCGCCTCTTGTGGCCGGTGCCGAGGCCTGTCCACGATCAGATGGAGCTCCAGGGGTCCTCCGGCTATCGCCGGGACTCTGGACATCGGCACTAGCCCTACTTCCAGGAGTCCTCCAGTCATCACCGGGACTCTGGATGTCGGCATGAGCCCTATTGCCCCTACCACCTCCTGGATGACGGCCTGGGTTTGGAGAGACGTTCCCGCTATCTCGGATCGGCCTATCCAGACTCGGAGAGATGCTCCCGCTATCGCGGACCGGCCTCTCCCCCCTTGACTGCCGACTCCGGACGTCAGATCCCCTATCGGGGACAGCATCAGGCCTCGGGCTCCTATTCCTACCCACATCCCTATTAGGAGAAACAGAAATGTCCCCCCTTGCGCGCGCACGGGGGCCATCCCTCGCACGGCCTGGCGGTGAGTGCGACCTGTCAGGCAACCCCCGAGCCCTCCTGCTTCTGCTGTCGGACCTCTCCCTAACGGGATAAATGGGGTGCCTATCCGCGCGAGAAGGATCGACCCTATCGGGCACATTCGGCAAAACATGATCATTCAAAACCAACACCTCCGCCTGGTCTCACCGGAAGGCCAGTACCCCGGCCGTCACCTTCTCCGGGTGTGGGCGTCGGAGACCTGATCCTATGTCCCTGCCCCGCAAATGCACTGTAACCAACATTCCGTCTCTCTCTGGGTTGTTGAGGAGCCTCATTAATCTGCTGGACACCCTGAATGATGCCAGCAGCCTCGTCAAACTGACCCTCCATTTCAAAGAGCTGAGACATGATTCTGTTGTTCGCTGCGCTAAGATTACGCACGTTACCATCGATAGCGCTTACTCTCCGCATAACGCCTTCAAGCGTACTCCGGAACGAGCCAAGTTCTCGCCTAACGGCAGGCTGCACTTGGTCACTGCTTGCAGGAAGATTACGGATCTGTCCTTGAATACCATCAACGACCCGATTCACAATTGCCGATCTCGCTTCATACTGTTCAACATGTGATTTCACGGTCTCAAACCTTGAAATGATGTCGTCATGATCTCGACGTTGACGTTGAATTCCTCGAACCAGATCCTGCATCTTCCGATTGATCTCGTCAATAGCCTCATGCCAGTCCTGTGGGGAATCACGTTCTGATGGTCTATCGACCTCCTGAGACCCCCTTCCACTCTGCAGCCTCGACACTCGATCAACAAGACGAGTGTGCTCTTCATTGATCCCTTCAATAGATTCAGAGGCCCACTTGGCAAATGTCTCGTGTTCAAGGAGAGCTTTCTCGATCTTCAGGTTTAACTCCCTGAAATTCGCGTTCACCACACTGCTACTGGCCCTATCGGACAGTTGCGCAACAGGATTCAAATTCAATTCACCTGCTGGTGTCCGAATCCCGACGGTTTTCTCTACCGAGAACATCCGTTTATCGAGCTTTTCCAAGTCCTTAAGGGTCTCATCCTCGGAAGCAACATGGCTCCTACGGGTAGCCTCACTATTCTCCTGAATCATCTGGCGAAGCCGATCAGTCGATGCCTCATTGTCCTTGACAGATTCATGAACCTCGTGGGACAGTAGGTTGATCCTCTGCTCCACGACCTCGGCTTGCTCATCGATGGCTTGCCTCACAATGGCCTTGCTGTCGGGAATAACTTCCCTTGCGAACCGTTGAACTATCATTCGCATCCTCCCGGCATCAGATTGAGTCGCGATCTCAGCTGCCAGGCGATTGACCTTGTCCTTCGTCTGTTGACTCTCGTCGCTCCATTCCCTTCGCATGGAACTCACTTGACCGTTCAGTAACCTGATTTGGTCAGCAAAAATATGGAACGCTTTCGCGACTGAGCCAGAAACCTCACCTCTCTCGAGCATCTCCTGGATGTGCAAATCGAATACCTCCTTTGCCCTAGCGTCACCTGATTCACCGGAGGAATGAGACCTGAGTGCTGGAGGAGTCGATATCTCGATCCTCTCAGGAGCCCCACTAGCTCTAGCATATCTTCTGGGGTCATCCACAGGACTATCACCAATCCCAGATGGCCTGCTAGGAACAGATCCTCTTCTACGGCTATCGCCGGAACAGGGATCAACATGAGACGCACGAGACTCGGGTGTAGAGTGGATGTGAACATCAGCAGGATCGGGCATCTCCTCATCCTGCAGAGCCAAGCCCATTGGTGAGGGGCTAGCCCTCCTCGCCTTTGACCTATCGGTCTCAGCGGCGAGAGGTGACGGTCTTTTCGCAGAAACACTACGTTCCCTGGCGGTCGAGCCCCATTGAGGTGTGAACTCGTTGCTAGACCTCAGAGTTTCAAGGTCACTGGTATCTCGCCCTAACGGGCTAGCGATCGACGGACGATCTTCGATCCCGAGTGCATCGGCAAGCCGACCATCTCTGGCACCTGTACTAACGACATCGGCAGCCCGCTCAGTGATCCTCGGCGAACCAGTAACCCGGTTCGAGTTCACGTCTCTCTGATTCAACGGACCTCCAAAGGTGATGTTGGGAAAAGGGGGAACATTCGGGGTATCACCAATCGCCGGGGGACCTACCGGTCCCCTCACGGTCATGGATAGCCTCCAATCCCCGAAGAACTTCCCGACTGTCCCTGGCTCTCTCTCTCTCGCTTCGGGCGTCCCTGTCAACACGAAGGTCCCTGACGGCTCCACGAGAGAGGCTCCTGGGCCTCGCAGCATCACGGATCCTAGCACTTCGTCGTGATTGGTGCTCCTCCTCATCACGGCGATCCGCAAATGCGGCATACTCGTCATCATCACCGACCTCAAACTTGGCAGCGGCAGGGCTAGTCCTTGCAGCCGCACGGTTGCCTGCACTTCGGCGCGAATGGCCCTCCTCCTCATCCGCAAAATTGTAATCTTCGTCATCATAAAACTCAGATTTGGCAGTAATAGGGTTGGGCCTACCGGCATCAGATCCCTGCTTTGAGCTACTGCCCCATCCTGCGGTCGATTTCAACAGATCATCGTATCCGAAGTCTGAGAACTTCCGCTCCTCGTGCTCATCAAACTGACCTGGATTCTGAGAACCAGTGGATCGGCCCGGGATACCTCCCGGAGCCAGAACCATAGTCCCTGGTCCCTGCGGCCTATTCTCAAACTCATCCGAGACCTGCGACTCACCTGGAACAAGAGATCTCGGAGGTCGAATCGGCATGGCCTCCGGGTCATCCGAATGAGGACGGGCCATGTCCATCGCCATGCTGATGAAGTCAAAACGTCCACGCCTATGACCTGATTCAGAGCCGCTCCTATCGGAGTAAACCCTTCGCTGCTCGTCATCAGTGGCCTGGCGGAAAATACGATCGTCTCCATCGTCGGCGTACCTGCCACGGCCCCTGGGTGTATCCCTACCGGGATCTTCACCCCTGCGGTCCTGACCTGTCGAACCTGCTTCGAAATCCTCGTAGTCATAGTCCGGTAGGTCCTCACCTGAGCGGAGGCCACCTAGGATGGCCTCCTCATCCACGACGCTCCTTCGAGATCGTGGGGTCGACATAGAGCTTGTAGTTGATGGTCTCAAGCGCGTAGGAAAGTCCTACGGCTGATAACCTGTGATTCGGGCACGAGCCTGTGCCCAGGCAATGGGTAAGTTGGGGTAAACAAGCCACAAAAGAAAGGTTCCCCAAAAGCAAACCAATCCCCGGTCCCAAAGATCAGGGTTTCCCACACACCAGAGAACAACAACCAAAAGGGAAAAAACCAAAGTAGAAAAGGATACCCGCAACCTAGATCGACGATGAACCGCACGGGCGATCCCCACCAACCTACCCCGGGCCGAAGTCTCTTTCTCCTCCGACACGAAGGCGGTCGACGTGAGGGCCCGGCGACGCTCATCCGAGGCGCGCCGGATCCAAAACTTGAGCCAAAACACCACAGGTCGGTCACTAACGCGACGTCCCTGATGATGATATGAACCATGGCTAATCACAATATATATACATATTTCTATCCTCAAGTATGGAACATCTTTGAGGAGACCCCCGGAAAGAGCTTCGGAGCTTCCCAAATGGTGGACCCTTTGGCATTGGGAAACCAAAAAGAAAGCAACCAGCCGATGCCCATTTGGAGAAATACCCTACTTTGCCAGGAAATGCATAGACTCTGAAGCCTGAGGGCTGACTCGAATCAATCCAAACACCTCTGCCCCCAATGGCTTCAAGGGTCGCCCAAAACATTGGCAAGACTGATTTGAGCACCAAACTTGTGGCCAAGAAAGCGATTGTAACTTGGTTTGGCTCACATTCACATACACACACAAACCGGGATGCATTTGCTTGGCCAGGATGATCCACCCCCTGCAAAGTGGACACCATCTTGCATGGTTTCAAGGATTTTTCGAGTCATTTGCAGGATTGTATGCAGCTTTGTGTAGTTTTGTTTGGTCTTGACTGAAATTCAATCACTGTACTGCGGTCAACGTGCTTCGGTTTGAGTTGGTGAATATGCCATGAACAATATTTGGCAGCCGAAGGAACCACCCTTCAACACCTGAAAGTCAAGTGACTAGTCATGAGATAAATTGGTACAAACACAGAGACGGACACAGAGACACACAATGACAAACACGGAGACAACATACGAGCACATAGTCTTCATGTTTACCCGAGCAACTCAAAGCCCTGCCTCAGAGCTCTCCTGGGATGAAGCGTCAGTGCCAGAGGTGACAGCCTGAGAGAAGGTGAGCTGGCCCAGGTTTTCAACTCGGTCATCCCCGTCAACCATATCACTTAGGGCGAAATTGCAAAAAGTATCACAGAAAGTGCCAACCTTGCACCTTGCTCTCAACCATCTACAACTTCTATAATTCCAAGTTGACATAGCCCCCCTTTCTGGGGTCTTAATGGCGAGCTTCTTTCCTCCCAAGCGATCAATTATTAAACCAGCCCATATCAAAGATTAAACCATTTACTGGTGGGCTCCAATGAACTGGTAACTGTTTCAAAGGTTCACTTGCTCAACTTCTGGTACCAAAAGACTGGTTTACATACCAGGACCCTCTCCCAAAGCCAACAGGAGATTTCAGGGTTTTCACATATGCTGATGATCACATACATGCGGAGTTTTCAACCGCTTTCAAATCAGTGACAACTGATGAGTGCGAAGCCATGAATAAACCCCCGGTTGATTGATAGGGTGCGCAAACCACTCAACCTGGACATTAGCTCAACTCCCTGCCTCACATGCCACTCCAAAAAAGCATCTTCAGTCATGACCTTTTCTGTTTAAACGGTACATGGGGGAACAAGGAAACAGAAACGCAATTCCCTTTTCTTGAAAGGGAAAGGTGAACAACGTGAAAGGTTTCCTTGAAACGAGGCCCCCCGAAGCAAATGCAAGTCAGCTGGAAACACATCAAGCTTGGTATGAAAATGGCCTACCCCAAACCATGTAAACAATCTAAAGGCGGCTGTACCTATTTCTTGCTTGGACATTTTTCTTAGCCCACTCTCCAGCTGAGCTTTGCTCCTTGCCGCAGCTGCAGGCGCGCTCCTCCTCGAGGCTTTTGTCGCAGTCCCCTGGCGAGCTCGACCCGTTTCGAGCGCATAACTCATGCATTGGGGGGGTGGCAGGGTCACCCGCACAAAAGGCGGCTGTACATCCTCCTCAGTGGAGCTACCGATTCCCGGGTTCCCAAATCACATTTACCAAAAAGGTTCTGACCGGTCCATCAGAACCCTTCAGTTTTGAAGGACCTCCCCCATTGAGCTATGAACGAAGGACAGTCCACTTGGTTGACGTTGGAAGGGGAGCAAACATTTAAATTGTAGCAGTTCAGTAGGGATTTCAACCACTAAACCATAATAAGCAAAAATCTAAAATGGTTCCCAACAACAACCATGGACAAGTCCCTACAGCCTTGAGGTCAATAGTGTTTTTTTTCCCCAGCCCCCCACAACCCACCCTGTCCAACTGCAGCTCCAACGCCGACTAACATCAAACCCAGCAGAGGGTCTCTTAGACTTGGGTACCAAAAGGGTACAAAGCCCGGAAAATCCACAGACAGGTTCAATGTTGGTGGGGAGGTAGGGGCGGGCCAACCCCTGACGGCACATGCTTCAACCTGCCAGGCATCGTTTTAAATAATCCGGCTTTGTCAACCAGGCCCTGTTTGCTCGAGCAAACTTTGCCCAGCACTTTCCTGAAACATCGCCAACGCCTAAAAATACCTCAGTTGAGCGATTGAACGCCAATCGATTTGCTTTGGTTTTACCAACATGGTTCTAAACAAACATCGAGTCCTTAGTGTAACCTTTCCGAACCCAGGTACCAAAATAACGAATACCGAATAGTTTTGGGCGCTGGTCACTTCAACTTGGCCTTGCCAAGTATTTCTGGCAGTGCTTCGTGGTTTTCGTAGGTGTTTGAGTGCCTGATTGGTTACCTCTTGGTCTGCATGACAACCACCACAACAACCCAAAAGGGAACCATGCCAATCTGGGCAACCGCAATGACCCCTAAACTGGCACAAAGGAATCCACAAGTGTTTAAGAGACCTCCATCATGGGATTTCGCTCGCTCTAGATCCGGATCGGCGAGCTCCTTCCGTTTTGAGGTTTGCCTGATCCACCGTCAACCAACGTGGGTGAATCCGCTTTCGTGCACGAACACCAACAAAGAAAAGTGGGAAGTGGGTTCCGTCCCGAAAAAGGGGGAAAGACGACCCCATACCAAAAGGAGGGTGCCTCCCAAAAGAAAGGGAAAGCGAAGCCATGGGAGATGAGTCACAATCAAAACCCGGTATTACAATGGAGAATTAGGAAGGCGGCCGCTGGCTGGGACAGCCCCTTACCAACCTTCATCTACCCGGGTTTTGAGCACGTGGCTCACATGCAAGGTTCGAATCCTCTTCGTGCGCCTTGCTGCAGCGGCTCCCGGCTGCGGATGGACCGGCTGGTGGAGAACTCGCAGGGCCCCGTGCACGCAGACCACTGACCTCAAGCCATGCGTTCCCATGGGTCAAAATCCCGTACCCCCAGTGAACATCAGGGCCTGATTGGGTTTAAGGGGAAGACAAAGCCGGATTATTTCAAACTATGTCTGGTGTATGCGGGTCAACACCAATGGTACCATGTTGGGGTAGGTGCACCACCCATTTTAGAACCTATTTTGGTGGGGATTGGGATGTTCACTGGGGGTACGGGGATTTTGACCCATGGCCATGTGTTTCGCTCCGTCCCTTCCAGTTCCCATGGGTGCTCCCTCGCCCGAACAGGCGACAGGTTCGGAGAACGAACTTTTGTAGATCTAATGGAAGAACCATTTGGTTTCCAACACCAAGGACCAGCCACGAAGAGGCAGGCATCATGTAAAACTCGGAGGCAAAAGATCTTGGTTACCAATTCTCGACTGCAATCACCAGTTTTCCTTCTTTTCGACTGTGACCTACAACCTGGAATATATACATATATATATATACACACTAGAGCGGACCTGTTCCCTGGGCAACACGAAGCGAAGTGCAAAGGAAGCGACTCGCAAAACCCAGGGAGAAAGAGCACGGACCCGTCCCGTCCCATGAAGCGCCTCAGCTCCAAGAGGCAAAGCTCGACGTGGCCGCATTCGTTGGCGAATTGCGCTTCTACAATGCCAATTTTCAGGGTTGCCCCGTTAGGGGCCCAAGCATGACCTCGAGGGGAGCATGGTATTGTGCTTCAGAAGCCCGGAGGGATGGAGCCAATGTCTGGGGAGCCAGGAAATGCGTGAACAGCCTAAAAAAACAGGCACATGGGGCAGGAAGCTTGGCTATCGCTCATACCGCGTCTTGCGGCTTACCGAGAACATGAGGACCTTGTGGTAGTCACAAAGTAGGAACTGCCGCATTTCGGCATCTTCAAAGCCTTGCGCAGTGTTGCGCGGGCCGTAGCAATGGCTGGACGGCTCTGGCTTCAGGGCGCAGCAGGGCGAGGCCAGTGCGGCGGGCGGCGGCTGCTTGCCGTGCAATCTCCGGCGAACAGCCCTCGGGCAAGGAGGCTGCGGCCGCGGGACGCTTCATGGCAGCACGCGAGGCAGCGGCGAAGCTTGGGCGAGGATGCGGCGGGAAGATTCGAACCCACGGACGTTGGCCCTCAGCAAGAGGAAGCGATAATACAGCGTCGAAACTCTACTCGAGCGGGGTCGGACTCCGCTACTTTTAGTCTCCGGGGGCCTCAGTCGAGTAGAGTTTTGACACCCCCACCCAAAGCCAGGAATGCTAAAACTCTGCTCGACTCAGGCCGCGGAGACTTAAAGCAGTGGAGGCCGCCCCACAGTCAAGTAGAGATCTGACCTCTAGCTGGGAAGACTATGTTAGTGGAGGGCGATGACAGCACAGAGGCCGCGACAGTGACGGTAAGTGGCCGAGCCACCCTGTCTATCACATGCAGGGATTGTACAGAGCAAGGTACGATATATATATATATATAAATAAGGAAGCTTACTCGGTCCGTTGAGTGACATCCTCACAGTTATGTAAACTCATCAAATTTGTGGATTTAAGGGCAACCACCCCCAAAAGCAATTTTGAGAACCCCTGAAAATGTTTACATTAAGGAACCCAGTAAAACGAGGCACTGTCCACCGAATCGTCGTGACGCCTCAGAAGGCCATGTTCAAGGATGGTAGGAGTTGACATGGCTGAATGTGGGCTGTGGTGACACAATGCTGCAAATGCAAAAACATGTTGATGGGCAAATGATGAAAACTAAAGTGACACCAAATGGAACACCCATCCCTTACAACCAAACTGACTGTTCAAAAGACAACCTGAACTGAGACAGAAACTCACGCCGTCCCTTTGGCCGGAAGGTGCCGAGTGGCGGGCTTTCGACGACAACTTCAAGCCATAGATTTTGATGGGCAAAGAAACACCGAACTGAAGCCAGCTGGAATTCCCCCTGCATTTCTAACTAAAAGCTCGTCTCAAAATGGAGAATCCCCCCCGGAAACAAAAAAGGGGAAAAAAAAACACACACACACACACAAGTCGCTTACCTTCAGCGCCCCCTTTTAACAACCCAAGCAGGAGACCAGCCAAAAACCACAGCCCGCTCCTCCGCGCTATTCCGACGCGCCGACGCCCAAGGCCGTGGCTCCAGTCAGAAGTCTCGCAGCTGGGACAAGGATCGCCCTGAACCGAGCACCGAGGTTGGTTTGACTCCAAATGCCCCTGAGACCTTTTGGGCACCAATGGCCTTTCATTCTTTTTTGGATGAAACCTACAAAAGGTTCTAGGAGTTGATTCCCCATTCTTTTCAACCATCGTTCTTTCCCTGGGTTTCCGGAGGTTTTTTGGAAAGAAGGATCCCTGGAAAAAATGGGGAAGGTACCCCCGGAAGCTTGGCTTCTTGGCCGTGTTCCAATTTGCTTCTCACCTAACCGTTTACCCTCTTCGGAGTTGCCAGAGTCACTTTATGCAAGCTGATGGAGGAATCGTTGGAGTGGTTTCGGAACAGGAACCCGATTGAACACCAAGCCAAACTTTAGCAAGCAGGGCTGAACGCCCCCGCTCTTTTGGCAGGTGGAGTTGCAGAAGTGCTGGCTCCCGCTTCAATGGATGACAAACACACACACACAAATCGAGATGCATCTGGTTTGGAAGGTGTGGAGGCGTCTTTGTCACTCTTTTTCCAGGGCAGATACTGCATTACAAGGGTTGTGTTGTCTTAGACAGCTAGCTCGTCGGGGGACACAAAACCTTCGAGATGTCCACCAACAGTCCCTTGTGAAAACAACACACACACACACCCATGTCAATTTGCAGCAGAACACTTCAGCTGCCAGCAAGCCTTGCATTCTCGCGTCTGCCGATCTTCCCCTTCCTCAGCATGCGTGACACTGAACTCGCTCGCTCGGTTCTCTTTCGCACTTCATTGAGATCAGCCCCAAAGTCCCCAAATCGTTCCCAATCGATTTCCAAATATGGCTTCTAGAAGCTTGGGCAGATCCTTTTTAGACTTTTGGATCTGATCTGTTTGAGCATCTGTACCCCTACAGCATCCCCCCGGATAAACATGGTTCAGTTGTGTACCCTTCTTGTAGTTTAGTGAACTATCTTAGAACCGCCGAAATGCCATTCGTTTGTCATTTCCACATTTTCGGCAATAACCACATAATGATACAACCAACATGGGGTCGTCCGTGTTTGTGGGTACCCCTTTTCGTGGTGTTGAAGGAACACCAAACGGAAAGCCGAAGCCAGTTTGGGGGTCCAACCTTAAAAAAAACATGCCCACTGGGCGTCCCCGGCGCAGTCTCTACCGAATTGGTTCTTCGCCAGCGCCAGCGCCCGTGTCCGGCGGGTTTTACCCATCCCGCAGCTCGCAGAGCAGACCTGGCTGAAGAGTCTTTGGCCTGCAGCTTGGGGACATGGAAATAAAATGGTTAACTTTTTGGAGCCACAAAACATGGGCCAACATGGGGATGATCCACCTATTTGGGAACCACAATGGGAACAGTAGAGAAACTCAGTTTCCCAGCTGTTTTGTTTTCCCGCTGGCCAATCTTAGCCGGGAACCGGCCCGAAAGCAAAAACGGGACTATGGCAAGCCCCAACTTCAGATCCAGCAAGAAGGCCATTGGTCCCCTCAACGCACCCCTTGAAGTGGGGACTCCTTCATTTGGCTGTGGCTCAAAAACCGGTTCCAAAATGGGTTGTCCTGGTAAGTGGAAACATGGACCCCTCCTGTTGAATTTTGAGCCACAGCCATGTCAGAATAAATCCATTCAAGCCCAAAGCTGACGCCATGACCCGAGAGCCCTGACTCTGGCTCCATACCTCCGAACCACGGCTCAGACATGGGCCAAACAAAGAGTGCATGGGAAAATTGGAAAGTTGGGGCCCAGGCCTCATGTAAGTTTGGGTCCCCCGGTCCCCGAACTAACAATATCCAGAGGTTTTCGCCTGCTCATGTAAGAAACTGAGTTGCCAAAAAGCATCACAGAAACGGATCATCAAACCATCCCCAGAATGTCACAATCCTTGGAGTTTGACCCACTTGCTATGTTTTGACTTATAGGGACCAACCCTGACCCCTGCAGTTGCCTCGAAATCGACACATCCCGCCGAAAGGATACTCACCAGTGGGCAGCTGGAAACCGATGTTTGTGCGATGCCGCTGGGTTGGTTCCCACCCACCCACGACCGGGGCATCTTATCGCAGAACCGGCCCCTGAAACCCTTGCCAGAACCTCAACAAGGGACCCGAAATGGTGGACATCAAAGTTTGTTGGGGATAAAAACGTTCACCAATCACTGTTGAGGTTCCGACACATTTGAAGGACTTCCAAATAACATCCATCGATCCCTTCGAGGCTCCTTGCCTCCCAGTCTTGCCAGTTCGCCCACACGCAATCCACTGCCTCAGAGCCGTCGACTCCGCAGGGGTGACACATGGCGCAGCGAGGCTCTTGGGTTTGTCCGCCTCTTTACTTTGGGGCCATGTTCAGCGAGTTTGGGTTGGGGGGGATGTTTAAAGGGGACAGAGTTGGAACCCTGCTTTTTTTGAGGCACGTGCGAAATCCTGGCGCACATTTCCCATGCATTGCACCAAATGGCCAGGGTAGTTCCCACCCGAAGGAGGCGCTGCTCAAGAATATATCCAACCCATAGGTTGCAGCAATTGAAGATCTTGCACCCCCATTGCACCCGGGAACCTTTCGCACATGCAACTTGAACCTGCCATTTCTTGATCCGAACAGATGGACCTTTCGGACCTAGAGGTCACGAAAGCTGGTCAGCACGGCAACCCGTTTGAGGGTTTTGGGTCCAAGAGACCATGAGCATTTCAGAATGTCAACATGCCCAAGCAAAAGGTGTCGTGGCCCCAAGGGTCAAGACACTTCAGGTAACCCCCCAACGTAAACCAGGGAGCTCCAGACAATAGTAACGTGGATGGACGGGTATTTGAGGCAGGGACAACATGGGTTTATCATTTTCAAGGGAACCCCTTTTTGGCCAATTTGTCTGGCGAGTTTGCCTGGGTGACGTTTCCAAGTTGGGACCTTGGGGGGCACCAACGTTGTGCCGGTCTGAGTGACTGACAACATGATCGGTCGGCTGGTTTTGGGAGGACAAGGCCTGGAAAGGGGGGGGGGGGGCGATTTTTCTTCCCATGTCCTGTTGAACAAAGATGGGTTTGTCTCAAAATATGGCCCCAAAAACATGTGGTTTCGTTTGTTGCTTCCCTCCTCGGCCAAGAAAGGCCTTACTTGAGTTTATCTCAAAATCGCCTCGTACCCTTTTCGGGGAGGGAAGAGAAAGGACCCCGCTGTAACGGGTCTTTACTTGCCACAAAAGTCCAGCCAACCAGCCAACAAGGGCCCTATTGCTTTATCAGCATCAAAATCACCTAAGTAGGTGAAAGGGAAACAACCACATGTTCTAACTTGAACAACCCCGGCAAAATCCTCAAAGTACTGGCCCCGGCAACATAACCGGAAACCCGCCGGAATGTATGAGACAAGCCCGCATGGGGGTTTCATTTGAGACAAGCTCGCATGGGTTTCCTCCCGCCTCCATGGGTTTGGTGGTGCTCTTCGCAAGCTCGGCCTTGGCGAGGTCCACGAGAGCTCTCGCGCCCAACATCAGACAGGAACATGCGGCTGTGTCAAAATCCGGGGGCCCAAACAAGTGGTGGTTTCCCTCGCGTTTCCCTTAAAAGGCTTTCTCTTTAGATGAATCTGCAAAGAACGGCCCGCGTCAATTTATTTGAGTGTCGGGACAGGCTTCAAGCGCATAAACCTCCACACTGACGCAACTGACATCCTGGACAAAGAAGTGATGGTAGGCAACAAAAAGACTTGAAGGCTCACCCTGCCACCCACTGGTTCCTTTTGCCCAAACGGGCATATGTCTCTGGACCAACCCTCAAACTGGGTGGTTTCCTTCTGGCTTCCCTTGAAGACATATTGAACACTCCCACTGACTACACAAGTAGGACCACTGAGGGCCATCACGTTGCCATCTTTTTGTTTTTGCTGCTGTTCGTTTGTCTTTGTCTCGCTGTGACATGTGCAAGGTAAAACGCACACAATGTGTACCTGCCCTTGCCAAAGGCAATCCTTTTGAGTGCTTGATTGAAATCGGACCTATAGTTCTGCGCAGTGGCCACGGAAAACAGGGCGCCGTTTGTTTTGCTGCTTGATTTAAACATGGAGCCCCGCGTCCACAAGCATGGAGAACACCGAAATGCCGCGTTAAGCTCCGGGGTGCTGGGCGCACCCCGCGTTGGACGTCTGTCCCTCCCCGCCCAAAGCGCCTCGACGCAGTCACAGGACATCTCCTCCCGCATGCTGGCGTTGCAATCCCCCCCTGCGAGGCGCGTCACGTCACGCGCGGACAAAGGGCGTCATGGCATCACGTGCTCGTGTCGAGGCCACGGTTGAAAAGTGGCCCTCTCTGTGACATCGTTTACTAGATTCCCTGTTCTGTGAGGTCGCCTTTTCGGGTACCCGTCGCCTAAGTTTAGAGTCCAGAAACCACTGAGACAGTGAGTTGAGGGCACTCTTGGTGGGATGCAAAAAGGATCTCAAACGGGAACCGGGCAGCTTGGGCAGTTCCCGCATGTAGCGATCCCCCCGATCCCTTCGAGATTCGCGACTGGGAAGCAATGGCACGTTGTCAATGGACCCTCATGTACGAGACCTCTTGAAAGGAAGTCTTTGCAGGTCCTGCGTAAGACTTCCTGGGAGGATCTCTAGAAGGACCAGCGCAACGTGTCTTTGGATGTTTACAGGATCTCTGCGCAAGATCTCTTGAAGGATCTCTTGGCCACATCTGCGTGCACGATCTCTTGGGAAGATTTCCGTGCAGGACCTGTGCGAGGATGCTCTATCCTCTGTCAGGATTTACAAAATCCCTTGCAAGAGTATCTTCGCAGGTTTGCGCTTTGCGCCGCGCGGTAGCGAGAGCGACCCGACCCGCCTGATGTCCGCACACTGTTCACTTCTTGCAATGCACATTGCACAAGGGAACTTTTTGTGCGAGCCTGCACAGCCAAGAAACGCGGCCCAAATTTCGTGCCACCGCTATGTGAGAGCCTGCGCAGTCGAAATGCATTTCAATATTTTACAAAGTCACGATTGTACGTAAATACCACGTAGCATTCTCTGCCCCAGAATCCGCCCCAGAACGTCCACCCTGATTAGACACTGTTTGGGGGGAAAAAGAAGGACCCACCCAATTTACAATATTTCAAGGCGGAAATATGGCGGAAATATGGGATCCTCAGGCAAACGACCTTCAGGATTTTTCAATACACTTTTTTAAAGGTTATTAGAAAGAGAATCCAAAAGGATCACCGAAATCCAACTTTGGGGTCAAAGTCCATATTCTGACATACCCAAAGGGCCCTGGGCTTTTGTCAAAAGATATGGCACACGGTCCAATGACATGCGCCGCACGGTAACTACTCACAACGAATTGAGTGCTTGGATTCTCGTCCTGCGCCGGGAATCAACAAAAACTAGGCCCCCAAGAATGTGAATTCACCGTTTGAATTCAAAAAAGAAGGTCCAGATGGAATCGGGGTGTATCTTTGTTCGGAGCTTGCTTCGAGAGTCCAATACGAGGGGGAAAAAAACAACAACAACAAAAAAACACCTGCTGCGAAAACACACCCAAACACACAGAAGTTCCCACTGAAGGCGCCCAAGAAAGCAAACACGTGACACGATGTTCAAGCACCGTGCAACACGATGCATTGCACTTCACTCAGTCATCGATGATACACCGTCACATACCAGCTTTTAAGTAACGGTTCACATACCATGCATCCACTTGCTGCATCATGTTCCATCGTGTTGTTCTGTTCTGCGCCGGCTGACATTCTGATGAGACGACAACCTGACTTGACTGATTGCAACATTATCTGCAAGGACTGTGGTGTGAGGATGGCGTCACAAATCTTCACTCAACGATTCACCGTAAACAAATATTCAGCTACACTCATGTGGAAATTTAGTCAGTCGCCTGCTTGTTGTGCGGAACCTGCCTACTGCTGGACAAAATTGCTTGCCTCCCCTTTGTTTTACTTGGCTGACAGCAAAAGGACAAATCATGTTGGCGGTAGGCCTTTTCCACAAGCATGGCAAGTCTTGCCCGATCACGCCTGGAGTGACAGGCTCGCGTGTGCGGACCGAGACAGCCTGGCGGTTGCAGGTTCCGCCAAGAAAGGTAAAGGACAAGGGCAATACAGTGGATGCACAAAATCCATTGTGCACCAATTGGGATAGACAAAATTGATTTGAATACTGGTTGATAAACCACCAACCCCAACTGGTGCGAAGTGGATGTTGTCCATCCACAACATCTCCCATCCACGTGGGGTGACGACGACAGCAAGAGATCCGGTGGATTTGCTCCGTTGCGTCGTCGCTGTTCTCAGGGTTCCATTTTTTCAGACATAGATCTCAACCCATATGGTTGACTTCCAAAAAGGCCACCGGGATTAACGGTCACCATGGGGATTGCTCAAACAGGGTCGCCAAAACTGGAAACCCAGGCCTGTGGTCGATTTGCCGTGGTTGCAAACGAGGTGTCTCTCCGATAGTCCAATCAACGTGCCCGACGTCTGCCAAGGGGAAACATCCACCCACCTGCGTTTCAGTCCACCATGGATGGCCCGGTGTCAAGTTGTCTGAAGTGGCTTCAACCAAGAGGCCCCCTTGGAGGTCTGGGTTGAAATCAGACCACTCTCATTTTTAAATCACGAGTCATTGGCTTCCTTATAAATTCGCAGAGTAGCGTTGACTCTAAATGAATAACGCGCTTGCTGACTCATAGGGGGTGCCATTCACCCAGATCACTTTTCGAGAAAAACAAAAAAAACAACACACACCTCCCTCATCCACCAGGTTCTTAATCCTTGGTTAACTTGTCACAGCCTTACCCAACAATTTTCAGAGGGCACCCCCTTGTTCAATCTTTTTCGCGCCTTTTTCGGGGCTTCCCTGTTCGTGTTCCTGCTTTGGGTTGAGTAAGGGATCAACAAACCCATCCTACTAATAGGGAGAGTCACCCCGAAAAGTGAAGGCTCCCCTCTAAACTGTGAGACCCCGCTATTCATCCACCAATCCTGGTGATCTGCCCCCCCGCCTCCCGCTCAATTCATCCACCAACACTTCTTTCTCAAAGTTTCGATCCAAAAGTCCCAGGTTTCAGTTGTTCTCCCTTACCCCAATGCGACTTCAAGCCAACCAAAGAACAACGGGTTCAGTTGTTCACCTTCCCCCCCCCCCCCGCCTCACCCAAAGAAAACAAAGACCACCGGAAACCACCCGTTGGGGGGGGAAAAAAAAAACCGCCCAGTCCCCCGCCCAGTCGGGCCCCGCCCAGTCGGACCCCAAAACGCCCAGCCTTGGAGTCCTGGCAGGGGCCGCTGCAAGGACTCCAGCCTGTCCAGTCCGTCAACTCGCAGCTGCAGCCTTGCTCCTACGGCCCGGCTCGGCTCGTGGCTCGGGGCTCCAAGGTTTCAAGGGAAGCCATGGAAGAACCCGGGGGAAAAACCCGGGCTCTTCTGAAGAGAGAAAGAAAACACACACACAGTTTAAGAGGCGTCAAGAATCTTGAGAAACACCCATGTATATTCCCGGTTCATCAGCCAGCATGGCATAAGCGTGGGTTACATGATGCTAGGGTTCTTTGTTCACAACCAACCTGGGGCTGGCCCCTACAAGACAAATGCACAGTTTGCCCTTCGGCCGTTTATAAAACTGGCCGTTTGGCCTCTAACGGCTGGTTCGCATCTCCATCTGGCTTGGGGGTTGCCTTTTGGTTTCGCTCACGAAATGACATTGGTCCCGTGGAGGGTTCTACACAAGTAGAAAGCCCAGTCTTGATTCCTCTGTGCAAAAAGGAGGGGATTTGAAGCCCCGGGTCGGGTTGAGCAAAATGGGCTCCACCCCCACCGGATTTTTGGACACCGGAGGTGGTCGAAATCATGCCCTTGGTGCCCAAGACCATTCACTTAGGCAGCTACTAGTTTCTCACAAAGCCATAAGCCAACACACATCTGCGCGAAAACTCACGGTGGGCTGTCCTCCGATCCCCTGCTAGAAGTTAAATGAACACCCCACTAAACCCAAAAAGCCAAAAAGCCAAACAAACGAAGGGGATGGCTGGGGACCACCAAGCAAACTGGAATTAAGGGAACCCCACGTCCTCCGTTGTTTTGCTTTCTCCGGCACGTGTTTCTGAGCGCCTTTCTGGGTGCCCGGGCGTTGCAGGGCACGTTCTCCCGCAGCGGCCCGTGGCAGTCCGTGCCGTTGCGGATGGTGCGGAGACGTGTACGCAGCCCACCGCCGCACAATGCGGAGCAGGCCTAGCTGGACATGAACTCCTAGGGTCCTTGGGGGTTGGCCCCTGCAAGTGGGGTTGGTTCATCACTTTTGGAAGGAACTAGGATTGGCTTCTTCCTCCAGGGTCAAGATTAATCCGCAAGCGATATGCAGGGGGACCACTTTGGCAGCCCCCCCAAGAAACATATAAATAAATAAATAAATAAATAAATAAATAAATAAATAAATAAATAAATAAATAAATATATATATATATGGTATATTTTATGGTGTATATATATATATATATACATAAACTTTTGCAGCAAGCGGGAAAACCAAAGAACATCACCCATGAAGTCTGAAGGGTTCTCCCATTTAGAGTTTGTCTTGGTTTGAGGCCATCCAACAATGGGCTTTCCATGTCTTAGCTCAACATGTAGTTTAGCGTCCATTTCAAACCACTGATATCCCCAGGCCCATAAACAGGGAGTTTCCTTGTGACAAATCCTCGTGGTTGTCGAGCCAGGAGAGAACACGGAAAAGGGCGCCCGCCTTCATTGAAGTGGGCTCTATGTCACATCCAATTAAACCAAATAAATATATTGCAATCGTTAGTCTCTCTGCTGTTCCCATTTATGAAAGCCAAGCGCATCAAACCTTTCCCACATCCGTGGAGATACTAGATTTCATGCTAACCTGGCTGAGCAACACACAGGCAAATCCTTCAATGACCAGTTCTTGGACAAGTGAGTTGCAACGGCCTTCCTCTCCTCTAAAAGGGTAACCCTGGCTTTTGAAGGTTGCCTTCTAAAGGGACACCAAAAAGGACAACTGCGGTCATAGGTGGAAAAATAGATGGGTTTCCCTGGTAAATGGGGCATAAACCCCATCTAAACCAGGAATGCCCTCTATTTTTTTTAAAGCAAACCAATCCAAAAGGACACCCAAAGAGTTGCGGTTGCGCCTGCCAGCTCTGCCACTGCTCGAAACAGTCGCAGGTGCCACAGGAGCGCTCCCGCAAGGCTGGGCCGCTGCACTTGCCGTGCTTCTGCATCCGCAGGGAGCGGCTGACGCCGCAGGAGGACGAGACTTCCTCGGCGGCGCTTCTTGCTTGCACACTGTGACTAGTCTAGGTCCTCCAGTAGAGAGGACCTAGAGTGCCATATTTTTTCAGTAGTCCATTTTAGTAGGGGAACTCTTTCCCAAAAAAGGTGAGAAAGGGCACCTAGCTGGGGGACCTAGTAAAATGCGAACATCTTCCACCGCGGTGCAAGGCGACATATGCAAAGAGCTGCCAAGCTTCCATAGCGCAGCTGCTCCAACTGCCCCAGTCGCCCCACACCTCGGACCACCAATCTACGTCTGGGTTTGGAACCGGCGAGCGAATTCGTTGTGTGGGGGACGGCCGCGTTTTCACTGCCTTACAATGCCTCAAGGGCTAATATTCTTCCTCTGACCTCATGAGATGGTGTTGACGGCTGTCTCTGCAGGTGACACGTGGACAGGTTTCCTGCGGGAAGCAAAGGTTGGGGACAGGGTTGGGTCACCCTTTAATCATTGAACCAAATATTGCTTGAAGAATCTCTTTTGGTTTCCCAGAAAACCGAATTGGGCTGGTTGTTCAGCAAATGCAGCGAAACCCGGACATGACGATTGGCTTCGGCCGCGGGCGCCATTGGAAGGTCCATGACCCGGGCACCCCCTCCTTCCCTCAACAGGTATCCCCTTGAAACATCGCCTTTCCAACAGCAAACCGACTTTGACTCGGCGCCAAAGGTGATTTTCCACACGCGGAGATCTCTGCAGCCCTGCTCCGCCCCCGGAAAAAAATAGTTTTCAAAGGCCAGGCGGCGCACGCCGCCTCGCTGGGCGTCGCATTGCTGGGCGTCGCCTTGCAGGCCTGGACATGAACCCAAGACGCTTGGGGTATGTGCCTAACGAGAGGAATCCTGAAATTGATGCTTCCCCCTTTGCCTTCTAAACCTGAACGAAAAGGGCTTACCCTCACAAAAAGACAAACCCATTTCGTGGGATCCCCACCCAGGTGTGCGTCTGCATGCGTGCGTGTTTACTCAGGGAAAACCATGGGGGAATGCAATTAAGCAAGCCCCCCCCCCCGCGCCATGTGGAACCCTTTCCGAACACATCGATTCGGGGCTGGGGAGCTGGTAAACCTATAACACTGGGATTCTTCACCCCAAGCGAGGGATTCCCTCTTAACTTCCAACACACCCCGATTAATCGACCAGGGGTTTGTTTTGGCTTGTAGATCCTGGGGCAATCCGGGTATGTGTCAAAGTCAATCTAACGGAGTTTTCAGAATGGGGTTTTCCTCTTGATGTCCAGCAACACCACCCCAATGGCATATTAAACATTGGAGACCTCCGAAAAGGCACCAAACCAACCTTTTGGTGTTCCCAACAGCACACCTCTTGCCTCCACATTGCACAGCTCCTCCTCACTCTGGGGCTCGCAATGAGCCTGCGAAGGCTGACGGCGAGGTGACTTTTTCTAACCGAACTCCACATGGAACCCTGTGAAGCCCCATGAAAAAAAGCCATGACCACGCAATTCATCCCACTCAAACAAAAATGAAGCCCTGTGCAACCTCATGCCAACTCCACGAAAAACACCCGGAAGCCCCATGAACCCCCCATGAAATTCCATGAAGCCCCATGAGCCATCAGGACACCCCCACGAGCCCGGGTTCGTAAAGGTCCGACCAGGCAGAATGCCGATGCGCTTCTGGGCGCCGGGACCTGAGAATTAAGACCTATTCCAACCACCCGCGCCTTTCCAAGGGCTTCTGATTTTGGGGCCGCTTTTTTTGGTGAGGCCCCCTGTCAATTTGCCAGGGCGAAGTATCCTGCGGCTGGCCTTTCAAACGAACTCCCGAAGAAGGAAGCACGAAAAGTGACGCCAACGAGGTCACCCATCAAGGGCCATTTATGGGGTTTCCCAATGCACAGCCTCGCCTGGACGAAATCCTTTTTGGACCAGTTGGGATGGACAAAGCTCTGGGAATATTGGTCGATAAACCACCAATTCCAATTGTTGCAAAGCGGATTTGGCCTATCCACAGCATTCGCGGCCTACAAGCAAACTGCTTGGACCTGCGTCCAGTTTCCCTCTTTCCAACAATCATGGACAGGGGGGGGGCGAAAGGAAAGTAGTCTCCCAAAACTCTCCTGTCAGCTTCCGCTTGTTGGAGGGAGGGTCGGTGGGATACCTACCTGCCTTGTTGCGCCGCGCGCGGATGCCACCACCGCAGGTCTGGCTGCACACGGTCCAGTCGGACCAGCAGCTGAGCTGGTTGCAGCTGCCCACGTTGCACTCCTCCTCCTGACCCCCGGGCTCGCGCAGGTGCGAAACGCACTCACGTCCTTTTCTGTTTATTTTCTTCAAATGTCAGGAACTTTGCAGGTAAAGCTCTTACCACAGCTGTTTGGAAGCCTCTTATTACTCTGTCCAAAACCTCCCCCGAGCCTGAGCTGGGCGTGTTTTTGTGCGGGTACTTCTCGGGTTGAATGAGACTCACCTGCCCAAAAAGCACTCGTCTTTTTTCGCGGGTTGAAGCCATGGAGCCGGTGGTTTGGACGTGTGTTGAGCTTCGCCTTGCTACGGGTGGTTCTCAAGATCTGGGGCTCTAAAATGCTTGGCTTCGTTTTGGCTTCCCAAAACCCAAAACCCAAGGCCGTTCCAACCCAAAGGCCGTAAATACCAACCCAAAACCCTCCAAAGGCCGTTCCCGCGAGAGGTATTTGCCCGCGGGTTGTAACTAAACGAATCCAGCGGACATGACCCTCTGACTCGGAACACGGCCAACTTCGGGGGAGTCCATAAAGACAACACGGTGACAAGATCGGAGCTTTTCTACACCCGGAGTCACTTCTAGGCAGCAACCCGGCGCAAACAATCATATTTTGTTCGCAGGTGGCTCTCTTCAAGATCTTTTTGCCGCTGCTTCTATAGCACAACCCCTTCGCCAATGGGAAACACGGGCACGTTGACTTCCTGCTGGCCCTCGGCCATGTCGCAGGGTTTGCCCATGGTGTTGTTGAAGTGCGCCACCGCCCGGGTCCGCTGCTTCTGGCCACCTCGGAGAAAAGGGGAGCCGCCTCTCTATGGGCTCCACCGAATTTTTCTTTTTCTTTGGGGGGGGGGTCTGGGCAAACCAAGCAAAAGTTGGCCCAAGGCAACCAATCAACAAACAATCCACAAATTCGGGGGCCTGAAAATCCGGACCCTGTTGGTTTCCTTTTGATAGAACATTCGCGATACTAATTTGGAGCCCGTCTCAAAATTGCACACCCGATTCGGTTGCTTTAAACTAGCTCAAAGGTTTGACTTCAACAAAAGACATGCCCCCAGAATGGGAATTCCAATAGGCTACCAGGAGGTTTCATAGACCGAGTGCCACTAACGCAAACAGCTTCCAACCACATCTTTTGGAAACACTTCCCTGGAAAGATCCTTTCACGAAACTTACCTCAGGATTTTTTTCGGCTGAATCTTCAGCAGTGAACTCGTACTCCTGACAAAACACCCTGTACCAGTTGGCGTTCTAACGGTGACAGAGCAAAAAGTGGAACGGGAGCCTGGCAGAACCCCTGTGTCGTTAGGGGGAGATCAGGCACGAATGGGATGGCAAGTTGCAAAGAAACAGCTCAATTGCAACCCGAAAACAAGAGTTGGGTGACTCGTTCAATGGGCTCTAACAAATGGGTTCCGTGATGCGCAAAGACACGCCATCCTTTGGTACAAGCGATCAAAGCCTTCCCAGTGTCTCTAAGTACCAAAGATCCATCCGCCATTTTGAGCCGTCACTGGAATTCCCCTGCCACAGTTGCAGTTCGTTTACTGGCTCCGTCACATTTCTTTTCGCTACTTTTGGTCCGAACAGCTTGGCTCCAACACAAAAATCATTGCCAGAACAGGTCCCAAAAAGGGCAACACCCCGGAGGGAGCCCGGTTGAGAATACTCCGATTCTGAGATGGTCTCAGATCCCCTGCTGGAAGTGTAACTTTTAGTGCCTTCCATGTTGCCCTGTTGGCTCGCCGGCCCAATTCGCAAGCCAATTCGAGAAGCCTTCCGGTTTGGCTCTAACTTTTGGGTTAAATTCGGAGACCCAACCACTAGTGGGTGAAATGGAAACCCAACCACTAAACCGTAAAAACCCAACGACTAAACCCTAAAAACCCTGAAAATCCGGAGACCCAACCACTAAACCCTACAAACCCTGGAAACGTCTCAAAACCCAACCACTAAGCCAACATGGAGGGAAGCCCCAGCCGGCCTTGGCAGCTGGCGGTGCACTGGGACCAGTCCTGCCAGGGCTCCCAGGCGCAGTCCAGCGGGCAGTTCCCAGCGCCTCGGGGGAGGGGGCGGGGTGGGGCTGGGCTGGGGTTGGGGGGTTGTTGTGCTTCTTTTTTTTTGGGGGGGTGGGGGGTGGGGAGGTGGGGGGTGTCATTTAGGAGTATTTAAGACTATTGGGTTTAGGTGTGCATGGCATGGGGTAAGGGGGGTTTGGAGGGTAGCTGCCGCAGCATTTGCACCACAACCAACAGCAACCAGTTTGATTTTAGCATATTTGGTGAGAGCCCAGTCGCAGGGAATTCGGGACTCCTGCAAAAGTCACACCTTCAGCCGCTGCAAACATATTTCAGGCACACAGGCACAAATAAGTCCAGACCTGTGGTAGATACTATTTCCATGCGGACTTTTATATTCACCAAGTACTTTGGAGGGCACTCCTCTTTGAAATTCAGAAGAGTCTTCGTGAAGTGCAAGGCCCAAGGTGACCCCCTCAGCATGCAGATTTTGAAACAACACACTTTCCTCCAACACGTGTGGTTTTTAGCACATTGCCTTGAAAGGACACCAAAGCAAAAATTTCTACAATCGCCCCTCAGTTCTCTTGAGGTTCGGAGCAACCCTGAACAGCGGCTACTTTGGCCTGACTTGCCCTGGCAACAAGTTATCTTCGTGCCGGTTGACAACACAATTGCAAACCGTAATACACGTGAGTCAAGTTTGGCAATAAATAGACCCAAGAAAAAACCGCCTCAGTTGCCAAACAATAGGGCCGGACAAGATTGCCAACTCCCAGGCGAAGATCTGAACACATTCTCCCGTAATTCGAAGACCCGAAATTCGAAGTTGACCCCCAAGTAGACTCCTTCAGCTCAGTCTCAAATAGGCATCAGCCCCCCCGCGGCGTCCAAAGTCCAACAGCCCCATGCAAAAACAAAGATTGGGTTCTGGTATCGGTGTGTGTGCGTATGCGTGTGCGTATGTGCGCGTGTATGCGCGAGCGCGCGCGGGCGTGCGCAGGTGGGTGGGTGGGTGGGTGGGTGGGTGGGTGGGTGGGTGGGTGGGTGGGTGGGTGGGTGGGTGGGTGGGTGGGTGGGTGGGTGGTGGGTGGGTGGGTGGGTGGGTGGGTGGGTGGGTGGGTGGGTGGGTGGGTGGGTGGGTGGGTGGGTGGGTGGGTGGTGGGTGGTGGGTGGGTGGAAGGGTGGAAGGGTGGAAGGGTGGGTGGGTGGAAGGGTGGGGTGGGTGGGCGGGTGGGCGGGTGGGTGGGTGGGTGGGTGGGTGGGTGTGTGTGTGGGTGTGTGGGTGTGTGGGTGTGTGGGTGTGTGGGTGTGTGGGTGTGTGTGTGTGTGTGTGCTTGTGCTTGTGCTTGTGCTTGTGCTTGTGCTTGTGCTTGTGCTTGTGCGTGTGCGCTTGTGCGTGTGTGCTTGTGCGTGTGTGCTTGTGCGTGTGTGCTTTTGTGCGATTGTGCGTGTTTTTTGAGGCTCGCTACCCTTTTCAGCTTGGCTTGAAGGGAACCCCCCATTTTGGGGTGTCCCCGTATTTGGACATATTCTGGGGGGTGATTCCCCATTTCAACCATTGTTCGTTGCAAGCAACAGCTTTTCAACAAAGTTGATGGTCGAAATCTGGAAAGAAGGATCACTCTTGTAGAGCTCAAATGGGAAATCGCCCCCAACCCCAACCTCAGGTGCTCGAATCCCCACTGAAAAGGGCACCCACTGGACCCTACGCAACCCCTGTGGCAGGCAACCATCGAGTTCCGCTTTAGTTTATACGGGTACCTGCACTGCACTGGTGAATGAATCATGCCAAGATTGCCCTCCCTTTTACGAAAGCAACGGGTCCTAAAAACAACCTTGAATCAGCTCACAATTCGACTGTCGGGGACCCCTGTGTGCCCCAGAATAAACCCAGGTGTCTCCAAGAAAGTGAAGGATTCCACTAAGGGGAACGTGGCCTTTGGTCAATCACCTGGTTGATTAACAGGTACATCGAAACCTCCTCATTTGCTCCCCAAACACCAGCCAGCTATATTAGCTGGCAACCGGAGATTTCTGCCACGTCTACGTCTGGCCCATGTTGTACAATCCCCTTATTGATCAACCAGGGCTTATCAAAATCCCGCGGTTCCTTTATCATAGGCAACAGCTCCAGGAACTTCTACAGAACAGTTGGCTAAACATCCACCAAAAACAGTGGATTTCCTGGCTAATTTCCTGTAGTTGGTTTCTGTGACATTAGCTCACTTCCTGCGTGGATTGGACAAAGAAAAATGTCCAACCCTTTGGATTGAAACTAAAATGTAGTGGACCCCAAGCGAGGGTTGGGCCGGGGGGCTATCCCTTCATAAAAAGAGCCAAGGATAAGGCCTTAAGGCCTTTAGGGGTTAAGAAGTTGACGTTCCCCCTCCCCATAGCCCTTGGACGTCCATGAAGAATGATAGCTCACTTCCAGAGTGGATTAGGCCAAGTCCCAAATTTCCCCCCAAAGTTGGGTGACTTAGAGAGACAAAAGGGGCCACGAAATTCGCTTCAATGCCCAGACGGTGGTCCCTGCCTTCGCAGGCCTCCGACTGCTCTGCCGAACCCTCGCAGGCCGCGCCCGCGCCCTGCCTCGGCACGGAAGCTGGCTCAGTGGCCGGGGGAACGGGAGGGGGTTCGGTTCAGGGCAGGGTTTTCGGGTTTCCATAAAGCGGGGGGGGGGGAGGTTAGAGTGGCTCTATATATATTTATAATGTATATATGGTGCGGGTTTTCGGTTTGCCATAAGCTGTAAACTAGTGGTGAATTAACCCATACATTACAGGGTCAAACCTGCGCCTGGTTCATGTACAAGGATGAATCTAGATTTACCCGAAGCTGGTCAACAACAACATATCCCGGGCACCATGCTATCATTCACAAACCGGAAATCAAAGTAAACACATCTCCAAAGGACCTTCATCATGGGTAAACTCACTGCAATTTGTTCAGAGGTATGAAGGCTGAAAGCGTCATAAAACACAACATAGAAAGGCAGTATGCCCGTTGTACAATTGGTGCATGAGATCCATACCTTCAAAATCTGAACACTGACTGGAACCTGGATGCACTCGGTGACAGCTGCAGAAAACGGGCTTTAGAGTGGTTTCATGCCCTGCTTTATGGAAGACGAAAGAGGGAGCTGGGAGGAATGGCGGAGAACGGGCTGCGAACGCCCTGCCACAAAGTAGATATGGTTCGGCTCAAAATACATGGGGGGACCCAACAAATGTTGGTTTTCCTTTTGGTTTCCCTTTAAAGCCACCTTGAAAAGGGCAGCAACACCCATATATGTGTTCCCTGAAAAAGCAACCTTTTTGACCGTTGGTCCGCTTTTGAGGGCCGGAGCACCCGTTTCGGCAACAGGAAGCTCGAAGGATGTCAAGAAGGCACCTCTGATAAACCTCTCCTTGCCGGGACGGCGTTTTGTGAGGTGACTGAGCAACACAAAATGTCAGTAGATCAGACACTGGGGTTTCGTACCAGTGGACATGTTGCCTGGTTCTTGAATACAATTAGTTTGATACGATCGATTTCCCAAATGCTAAGAGCGACAGCAAGCGCAAACAGCGGCGGGACATTCAGGATTTCGGGAATTACTCGTATTCCTGATTACAGCCACCTTCCACAGCATGCGTCGTCATTTATCGCAGGTGGGGGAAGCCACTGAATGTACAAATTGCTGTCCTGTTCCGTCTCTTTGAGGCCCGCAACATAGTTGGATTCAAACGAGGGAACACTGTTTAGGTCGGTTTCAAGGGCAACCAAAAGCGAAATTGTTCCCGCTGTGTGTGTGTGTGATGTGTGTTGTTGGACGGGGGCCCACATTTATTCAACAAAACCACCCAAGAGCACCAACGGAAGCCATGGGATTAAAGAGGACACCCACAGAACAAAACATAAGGACATCCCTTTTCAGGTTGGCCGACTTCCCATTTGGACGCCTGTGGACCAAAGGGCAAATGAGGGCTTCCCCGCCAAGATTATCATCTGAATGGACTAAAGTGAAACCACAGCTTTGAGCACCAAAAGCATTCCCAAGGGACACAGTCAAGCCTTCTGAAGGTTGATCCTTGATTCTCTTCACCTGTCGTTCTCTTCAGAAACCACCAGGTTTTCCGGTGGGTTGGCACATTTGTTTACACAATAAGATCCCTGAAGAGACTGGAAACGGAAGGCACAGCTAGACATCCTACTGTGGATGGAGGAATTCCTGCACTAGTAGATCATTCCAGTAGATTCATAGACTTCACCCATCCCAGCTGATGCAGGATTTTGAATACATCCAAATTGGGTGCTTCTGTTTTTGGGATCCCCCCGAAATGGTGGTTTTCCTCTTGGTTTCCCCTTAAAACCCGCCAAAAGCGGGCACCCTCAGACAAAAGGACACCTGGAGGTTGATCAATTCTCCTGGCCCATCATGGGACACTTTTCCCAGTGGTTGGAAATATCAAATCCTTTTCAGTGGTTTTCCTTGGTTTCCAACCAAAGGTCATCCCACGTATCACGGGGACCTTTTGACTCGCTGGTGCA